ATTAATCATTGATTTCTCATTTGCATTTTTATGAATCACTAGTATGTACCCCGTGCGATGCACGGACTATATTTATTTTGGTAAAATTTATAAATAGAAGGCTATTAATATAAGTTATGATACATAGAGGATTTGTCAACTAATCATAAAATGTTCGTCAAGAAAAAAGTAATACATTATTGAAAGTCTCATCGTTTTTCTATGCAAAATCATTTGACACTTGGCAACTGTAGACCGATATTCTTTCCACTTGGTAATTGATAAACACTTCATTTATCTAATTCTGTGTTGATTTTTGGAATGCCAACACCACGAAATAAAATTATAGTGAAAATATGTAATAATGTGACAAAGAAAAATCGAGATTATGGCAGTGCATTTAATGTTCTTTTATTTGAAAAAAAAAACTAAAATATATATATATATATATATATATATATATATATAACTTACCCTTTTTAGTATCTAATTAATGATTTTGGCGGGAAATTTTTTCGAAAAATGATTTAACCTTGTTCTTATTTTATATAGATATATTTGACTCCATTCTTTGAATGACTTTGAATGCAATCGGATACATGATTAGTGAAATAGTGAACAGAATATTGTGGTACTTATAAAAACTTGTTACCATGATTAGTGAATTTTTTTATTTATATATTTTGTTATTTTAATTTTGTTTTATGAACAATTTGATTCCTTTCTTTGTTTAACTTTGAAATGAAATCTTTACAATATATTGTTACTTTTAAATGATATTTAAGTTGTATATATTACATAAATATATGTGAAAAAAAAGAAAATTTTAAAGTTCAAATATGATATTTATTTATATGTATATAGAAACATGCAAATCAGATTTCCCTTAAAGATCAAATTTTGTATTATTAATTTTATAATAGCACTCTTTTTTTTATACCATGATTAGTGCATTTTTTTATTTATTTTGTTGATTCTTACTCTCAATTTACGTTACATTTGTTTCCATTAAAAACATGTTTAGTTTAATTTTTCGATATCCTGAGAATTTGTTATCTTGATTGTATTGGTATTTTAATATTTTACAATATTAAACAAAACAAAATATTGGCACGTAGTAGAATAAATGATCTTTTGTTCTTTAAATAATAATTATTAATAGAAAATGGCGATATGAGTATAATATAATATTATATATATACATATATATTTGTAAACAAATAGATTTAAACTAAAAGAATAAAAATAATCAAATAGATATATATTATGAAGCCTGTTACTTTTATTAAAAAGTATTTTTTACATCGTAAAGGAAAAAAAATAAAATCATATCTGTTATCTATAAAATTTTATTCTTTATTATTCTAATAATTTATATATTAAAGTGAACTTAGGTACTGTATGATTTGATTCAAGGTTGTATATACGTAGGTAATAATATGTGGCCAATTATTATTTTATTGGTTAATGTTTATGTTGATGGAGTATTATTGGATAAAAAAGATCATTCATTTAAATCATTTGAGGTTGTATCTATGCATTCCGTCCGCACAAACGTGTTATAGAAGGATTAACTCAAAATCTTAATTTGACAAAGTAAATTACAAATTCATTTCCTATTTTAACTAATAGATTATCTCTAGCAATTAGAATTTCTTTTTTTAACTGATATATTATCTCCAGCAATTAATGATCCACTTGTGTGCTATTTCTCTATATAGAAGGTAATTAATGAAATTGGTGAGAAAGTGTTTCTAAAAGTGAATTATGTTAATCCTTATTATATATTAATAGATAAGTAAAGAAAATCAATAGGAGTTGACATTTTCATTTAGTATATGGGTATGATTGAAAAAATATAGCTTGACAATTAAATTATAACACAATGTGATGTTTTATATAAGATTAAATAATTTTAAAGAAATATTTTAATTAAAAGTTTTAATATTCTTTTATATATGTTTCTTAATTCAACACCGGTGTGGGTATTGTACTAGTCATATGTAAGTAAAAGACTCTTACTCTTGCTAGTGATTGCAGAACGGGTAATAGCTAAGAACTCATCCCAATTGAATTTCCTTAATTCCTGCTTTTCCGCCTCCGATAGCTCAAAGTTGGGCTCCCTTCCACACATGAAAGCCGCCCTGCAATGACAAGCTACAAACTATTGTTAGATTAAGTGTACATATGACTTCTTCGAGTGTATCTGCATCATCATTCATCAGACTACTACAAAAAGCCTATCCTCATTTTTCTTATTATCTCGTATCCACCTTTTCACATGTTTCGGTGAACCTCAAAAAATATCATACTGCAGTAAACAGAAAGATGGCCATTACAGAAGCTGTGTGTGTCTGTCTTCAGGAGCATTTGCAATCAATAATAGAAGTGATAATTATTTGAAGTAATAATAGTAGTCATAATATTCTTTCAGTGGTGCTCAAAAAGCAATGATACATTGGTTTTAATTCCATTTTTTTTTTTTTTAAATCCTGGAAGAAAGAATAAGCTTTCTATAACTTACCATCTTCAACCACCCTCTTATAACTTATATTTGCAATTCCAATTGTCAAATACTTTTGGTTGGAGGTTGGAAATAATCATTTTTGTTTGGCTGGACAAAATATATTTCATTGGAGGGGTGATTGCATACAAAATATTTTAGAAAATATATTGTTCATTTTATCTCACTTTTTCCTCTAAATTCTATTAGCACAATTTAAAAATAAAAATCAATCATACATTTTCCAACACACACACAAACTATCATTCACATCATATATTTACTACCAATCATTATCTATTGACATTTAAATGTTTTCATATCATATCAACTCAAATCATTGCATTTTATTTTAATTTCATTCACAACCTAAAAAATATTCCATTTTTTCTCAAGTAACTTTTTTACTGTTTAATCTCTATTTACCTGACGAGAAATATATTATATTTAGAAAAAAAAAATAAAAAATTATATCCATCACCACCATGTTTCTCCTGTGACACATCACTCTTCTTCTAAACTTAAGAACTTAAGCTAACACTGCTTTAGAACATACCAACGTAGATCATTAATACATATGCTTACATATATATATATTATCATTGCTTATATATTTATGAATAACATCACTAGCTTTTTTCATAATAATTGAATGTTTATATGCCATAAGAATAAGATCTGTAATTATAAAAATAAAAATAAGAAATAAACACGATTATGGCCATATATATAGTTGATGTTTGTTGTCACAATTATTCCTTGAAATGTGAAGATGTCACAACAAATAAGTGTACCTGTCATACAGTCGAGCAGCCTCTTCCTGAGAGCCAACAGTACCCAAATGGATCTGTTTCTTATCGACTTTAATGGCCGCTTGCCATTTCAAATTCTTGAAATAGACACCTCTCATGATACACGGCTCTTGGTTTTCCACTTGCTTCCTCCGATGTCGCTTTCTTCGCTTGATTTCTAAACAATGGAACATAATAATAATAATCATAATAATAATAATAATAATAATAATAATAATAATAATAATAATAATAATAACAACAACAACAACAACAATAATAATAATAATAATAATAATAATAATAATAATAATAATAATCAAAGCAAAAGGATAAGTAAATATTATAGGCATTTCTCTCACTATACCACCTTAGTGGAAATTAGGTCCCATGTAATGTAAAGCAAAACCCAAATGGTTCTTGCTGTATAATACAGATTCATCTATTTCTGCTTTCTTACAAAACATAAAAGCCTCAGCACATGACTTTATCCAAAACAAACTGTACCCTTTACTTAAACGGAGTAGATTCATTTATTTTTAGCTTACCTTCCTTCGGCTTACGCCAGAAATTACTTGCCTACACATAAAAAACATTGAGCAACTTCAAGAACCATTGATTCATAACTAGGTATTCAGAGAGAGTTTAAATCATGGACGAATATACTGGTCTTAGTGTATGCACTTAACATTAAATACATCTCCGTATGGTTCAAATTTTGCTTTCGAGACAGAAAGTGATTTTTATCACCAAATCAAGAAAAATATAACAAGAAAATAAACCATATAGATTAAAACCTCCACTAGTTGCTAAGTATTAACTATGAAGAAACCTTAAGAGTACACAATGAAGCTGCTACAAAACAAAATTAATAATTTTAGAGGACCAAAAAGATAATAAAGGAAAAACAGACCAGGAAATTGATGGAGGGCATGATCTTTTGACGGACTTGAAGCAGAACCATTTGAAGAACCAGACCCAGTTCCCAATGCGGTTTCCTATCCAGTTACCAAAATAAATTGACAATCCATATTGCTAAATTTTTTATGACAAAAAATACATGTATAGTGAAATATCATAATGAGGCTCGTTCAGAACAAAGTAATATCTCTGAATAATGAGGCAATATCTGTAAATAATGAAAAAAACTCATTTTCAACAAACAAAAAAGTGGATTTCTTTCTACCATAATTTCGTTACAAACTACAATTATCAACTTATTCTCAAACTTCTTGTTGTTTATTCAAACTGAGCTCATCAGATATCAATGTCATTTTATAGCTTTTACATTTATCAATTAGATAGCGCAAATATAGCACAAAGGTCGCATTTCCCAAAGAAACTAGTGGCTGACAACATGAAAGGACTCAATGATGCATACGAACTCTAGTGAACAAACGTACAATTACTTCTTTTGGCTTGTAACTGTCTTCTAACGGCAGAGGATGAACAGTGATTGGTTTCGTGTTCTCAGCAGAAATTTGAGGAGGGGTAACCCAAGAAAGTTGAGCCAAAAGAGAATTTCGACCTATAAAACAACACAACTGGTTTCAAGCAATGAACTGAAAATTTAAATAACCAAGCAACCTCATAAGTTTAAGTAAAATGGCTCAATCTTTACAGTTCTACAATGACATAATATATGGTAGTACTAAATATAGCCCATTTTTATATACAATACCAGAGCACATTGCTAAGAGCTTGCGTCTTCGAATGCTCACCATGTCTTTTTCTCAGTTCTCCTAAAAGGCGAAGAATCAGGTAAGCTACAACAAATGAACTATTTCACAAAAACTAAAATGTAAGGAACTGCATAACTGGAAAAAAAAATACTTCCCAAGTAATGAAACTAACAGATAAGAAAAAAGAAACAAAAGAGTCGGCACTATCAAAATGCAGTAAACAAGGTCAGAAAAATGTTAAAGAATCCCGTGTTTTGTTTCCAAATATCAGCAATAGTATTAAATAATCCCGAGTTCTGCTTCCAAATATCAGCAATATGCCATGCCGACAAGAGCATAGCAATGATCTGAATCAAAGTTCTATGAAATCTTTGCATTCTACTCAGAGGACACGGTTAATAGATTCCCAATGAAGTGTCTTGTCAGAGAGTACTTTGTAAAGTATTTGGATCAACTTTAAATAAACTTCAAGTCAACTATAAAAAGACAGAAATTTGGACAAATAAGAACATGGAAACTCATGGATAGCATTATACTTAAAAGAAGAACCCTGAAACTGAATCCCTTGAACAATCAAAGCCGCAAACAGTTAAATTCGAAGAAGAATTCAATTCATTTTAAATTTTCTGTTAAAGGGATGACCAAATCTAATCTTACAAACCTACCAGCCCAAAGGTGACAAAAAATTTTGAAACCTGAACAAGGCTCAACCAGAAGATAAAAAAAGGTGGCAGAATAAAGCCATTGAGATAATTTTCAAGAACCAAAAACAACTTATCAACCTAACCAGAAACAGAATTGATCAAATCTAAATAAATGCCCAAATTCGTAATATTTGGAAGAATTCTATCTAAGTCAACCCCATCAACCCACCACCTTTCATGGAGAAGAAGCAAAAAAGAAGGCAAAAATCACATAAGCCCCAACAATCAATCAAAGCAAAACCCACCAAGAAAATGAAAACCCATCAACAAAACAACTCAAAAGACACAAACTTGCGCCCAATGCCAAACCCCACATAGCCAAACCCAACAATTAGCGAAAGACCGCAAGTCAACCGGTACAGACAAGACTTCTCAAACCAAAAACAAACAAGCAAACTCGCAAAATACACACAAAATAGACATCATAATGAGCAGTTTTCGGAGTTTTCTGAAGAGAATACCTTAAAGAAACCAAATAAAGAAAAAAAAAACAAACGGTGGAGACCCAAAAAAGTGAAAGATAAACAGTCGCAGTTGGATGCGTGGAAACCGAGGACGGAAAATCAAAAGTGTTTGTCAAGTTTTTGTGTGGATTGCAAAAAAGGGAAGATGGGGTTTGAGCAGCGTTGATTTTGTGGAAGAGAGGGCAATTAGTAGTAGGTTGGTGTTTTACTACTCATCAACATGCATCTACCAACTTTTCCTTTTAATTTTTTACTATCAATAAATATAAAATAATAATGGGTTTTTGTAATTGAAGGTGGTGAACATGGACTGGAGGAGAGGCTATTGGTGTTGGGTGGTGAGAGAGAGATAAAGAGAGTGAACAAGTAGAGGAGAAGGTATATGAATTGATACGTACTTTTTTCTTTATCCAACTAACATTTTATTGGACGATTACTACCCCTGCTACTTTCCCACTTTCCTCTATTGGTTCTAGGTATCTATTTAGCTCACCCGAATTGACAGAAATACCCTTTGGTTATGAAATATAGCATAATATAAAACATGATGATGTAGAATGTTCAATTGTATGTCGACTTTATTTTGCATAATTTTTGACTTTTCGGTCAAAAAACTTTGCTCCCTCAATTAATTTGATCAAATGAAGACTAATTCGTGACAAAAATTAGAATATCCATAAATAAAGGTTTTTGCTATAAAGTCATCGGATGACGAACTTATAGAGACATCCATAGTTATTTACAAACGGTGTATTGATACGTATCCTGCAATAAAATTACATTGGACATCTGTGAGTAAATAAAGTTAAGGATGACTCTATAAGGTATGGCTCCATAGAATTTCTGTCATAACTAATACTTCATTCTATTCTTTTTAAATTCATTTTGGTTTTATCAACCAGTAACCAAATGAATGACGTTTTGAATATTTTCTACATATTTTTCCATTATTATTCTCATTTAGCTAATAAATACACTACACATTTTCATATTCGCTTTTAATTTCCATGTTATTAATTTTCATTAAATAAGATTATTATTGAAAAAATAATAAATTTTAATTATTGTGCAACTTCTCAAAATGACACATATTATGAACGTATCTGGTGTGTCAGGTTTGCTACAGAGTCATCAGATGGCTCGACTTTGACACAAAAAAGTGTTAATACATTAAGTGGTGGATCGCATATATATTCCAAACATTATATATCTTCCAAAAATATTAGCCACTATCTCTTAATAATATGTATATTCCCAAAAAAATTGGCCCCTCATTATTTGTTTCATATTATAAACTACATTTATGAGCAAGGTTCTTGTTTTACAATATAGCTAACCTAATTGAAGCATGAAGTCTAGAAGATGAAGTTTTGCGGCTCAGCTATGGTAGCGTTCGGTATTAATGTTATTACTGAGTGATCTTGTGGGCCAAATTTTTACTTAGGTACAAAAAGTTTTAGATTAGTTTCACAATTAACCCCTTTTAGTTTTATAATGTAATGTAATTAAATACCTCTCAAGATAATACATTGAACACACTCATCTTCTGTGTTAGGTGTGAGGCATAAAGTCAAACTACAAGATACGCAAATTCATTTTATTATTTTGCTTTTTCTTTGGTCCGGAAATCTTCTCTCTCTTTTCTAAATATTGTTTTATTCTTTGAGATTCCAAACATGTTTTTTTTTAACAACTGTTTATCAATTGGTCATAAGCTTGAATTGGACAGTCAAACTCACAATAAGACAAAGCAACAATTATATATTTATATTGAATTTATTTTGTAAATAAAGTCTTGCAGCCTGCAGCTAACTTGACTTGTATTGCACCGTAATTGACAAATTTTTTTGCCCCTAACAACACTTGAGAGTTTTTTTGTTTTGAAGTGATTCCGTTATAAAAACTAAATATATTATAGTTAAGCTAGTATGTGATTTGTAAGAAAAATGGTTTTGAATCGATTTTAAGGTTGCAGTTTGTGTAAGTGGAAAACTTAGAATAAAATTTCTAAATTATTTTTGGTTGAATAAAAAATTAATTCTACAGTTGAAATGTGGGGGAATTTGTGTTTATATAACTCAAAATGGAGTTTAAATAACTTAAATATTGTTGTATCCATAAATGTTTATTCTTTGACGGATGTTTGCACAAGTTAAACAAGCTATAATCATGTCGCTAGAAGGGTTTGTTGTGGACGTGTAGGAAAAAACCGGACATGATTTCGAGTACAAATGTGTGCGTACGGGCTCCCGCCAGGCCCCATCGCGTGCATGATGCCTATATTCGTTCCCCAATTGGGTGCAACAAACTCGCGACCCGAATGTATTGAAAAGTTCCAACTTAGTTTTAGACGACCAGGGACATCCCAGAAGGTGTCATTTGATGTCATGAACCCATTGGAGCTGTCCAAGAGCATCAATAAATACCCATGGATGAGATTTCATTAAAACAATATTAGATTTTAAGAGCACGTTTCCATGGTTTGCAAAGTTTATAAGGCATCTTATGTTCTTTATGTTCACTTCTATCTTGAGAGTTCCACAACGAGTGTATTGTTTGCTGACAATTTGTGTATATGAGTTATTGCTACACACAAATCAAAAGTCATTATATCTTGGCGGCGTTAGCCGTGGACCATAGGCAATATATATACCTAACTATTTTATCTTAAAAAGAGCATAATCTTATGTGCCTCGACTTTTATTCTTTTGATCGTTTTTCTTATGATTTCTTAAGCCATTTTATTTGATATAGCAACCAAAATGGCTTAGTGAACCAGTCTAAGTGGTTAGCTCGAGTGCAACCGGTTTATCAGAGCTCCAACTCAGTATTAAGGTTTGACCTCATCAGGGAGCTCGATTTAGTAGCCCAAGGTACAAGTCGACATCATTGAAGAATTCAAAAGACGAGCACTTTGTGGAGCTCAGACAGATGAGGGGTCTTCATGACCTTCTTTTAGGTGGAGTTCGTGGCTTCGATCAGACAGGCGCCTATGGAGGTTAGATCGCACGGTCGATGTGACGATCTAAGGACCTAGGAGTCATACTGTAAGAGGAAATATAATTTTGCTAAAGATAGTAAGTGTATCTCGCTAATGAGTCTAAGATCTCAAAGAGTGTTAAACTAGGAAATAAGATATAGTTGGATCTCTTTCTTCGTAAGGACTATACATGGGCAAAATGATTACTCGGGTATAAAAGGGGTTATTAGGTCCTACTTTTACATCTCTCTATATATAATTCCCGAATGTGCTGAACCTAAGTGGCATGCTCGCATGCTTTGAAATCCTAGGTGTCAAAATTCTATGCTTTGCTATTTTGCTTGGATAGATTTTAATTTAATTTCAATCCAAAACTAATTAGGTTCGATTACCATAAATATGTTGATTTATTTATGATCATTTTAGATGTATTAATTGTCTTTTAATATCATTTCCTATTATAACTATTGAATTGTAAATGTATATTAAAAGTTGATAACTTTTGTATTTCTTATCTGTTTTACATATATAATGTATCAAATTAATCATCTTTTGATGAGCTTCGATTTGACATCCATATTGTATATATAAAATAAATAAATTATATTTATCTTTACAATAATAAAAAAATATTTATTAAAATTAATTAAAAAATAAAATTATTTCTCAATTAATATTTCATGTTTAACGTAGTTATATGTTATAAATTATAAAAATTATTATAATATAAAATATGTAAGTCGCACGAGTAACAAGTGTCCTACTAAAATAATATATATATATATATATATAAATATTTAAATTTTCAACTCCTTTTTCTCATTAATTTTAAATTTTATGAAAAAAATTTAGCAAGCACCCGTGTAATACACGGGCGCTGTACTAGTAACACAT